GCAGAACCAGGCTCAGGGAGGGGCGGGGCCATCTGCTGTGACCGGTTGGGGTGAGAGAATGACATGACATGACACCAATGCTCTGATACAAGCTTCTAACTTGAAGTTGCATTTTCCTCGAACCACCGCCTGAAGCTTGCTCCAGCGCAGAAAATCACACGCGATGTTTTGACCACTTGAATCACATAAGTAGTCAAAATCATCAATTCTGCTACGTAACACGAGACGCTTTGTAACACCCCAGTGCCATGTGAACGTGTTTTCGAAAGCTGGAGAAGTTGTCAGCAAGAAAATAAAGAAAAGCAGTGGAAAAAATATTTTTTGTCATTAAAAATCTAAAAATCCCATGAACATAATCACACCTCTGTTTGTATAGAAGCAACTGATCTGTCAATTCATCCAAAATTGTATTTATATCATTCACACAAACCTTCGTTACACTCAGCACACGATTACATTGTTTGCTGTTCCCTGTTTTGTCACTAGATGTCACTGAAACAAAGCGTTTAATGAATTCATCTGTTTTCCATACAACTCATGAAGTGGTTCAATACTGGTTTATTGCTTGATTTGCGCATCACTAGTGTTGGCCATTTGTGGATAATCACTCTCACTATCATTTGCTGGAGTCCCACAGCTTTAGAAAGGGCTTTATCATCTCGTCCAGACTGAGATCTCAATTACCGTGTTTCTCATTTGTTCCTAAATGACCTTGGGTCATGATATCTGGCTTTTCAGGATCTTTTGGTCTACTCCACTTTGTCCTTTGTAAGCAATTTCCTGATTAATAACAGGCGTGCAGTAATCAGACCTGGGTGTGGCTACAGAAATTTAGTGTTTACTTGTGTTATCGTCGTCTAATATAGAAATTAAATAGCAAATGTGATTAATATTTAAATGATCAAACATAGAAAAAAATAGGAAATCAGGGAGGGGTCAAACAGTTTTTCATAGGAACAAGTTGCAATATTCAAGATCAGAAAATGAATCTTCAAACTTTATAGCTTTGTTTTAGATTTCTGGACAGAAAAAAGGAAGCAACCACTGTTGTGGAAGCTAATGGGTTTCCTTATAACAAATACCACTGTATATGACAACAAACAAAGCATATTAGGTCTATTTTAAAAAGCACTAATGAGAAGAATACCATATAATAGAAAACAAGAAGGCATGGTGATCCAGCTGGACAATAAACAAAGATTGTAGATATAACTCCTCAGTCCTCACATCCCCAGAGATGCTGCTGTTATCTGTTCTGATGAATGGCCCAAAACATGTGCATTTTATTTTACTTAAAGGCTGCGACTTTTTTTTTTTTTGTTTATTCTTAACAGTCACGTCTATAATAAAAGTCTATCAGAAAAATGACTTTGAAAAATCAAATATTCATGTCCCCACCTGACAACATCTTTAAACGAGCAGAAAGAGAAACATAAAGCCTGCAGCTTAGCGGACTCTGTCTGGAGACACAAAGGTTAAATTCAAAGTTGCAGCACTGCCTGCCGATGGAGCACACGGACACATGCCTCCCGGCTTCCTGTCATCCTGCTCTCCTCAGCTGACAGCAAACCTCAGCGTCCCCTTCGGGCCAGAGGACACGGAGACAAGGCTGCAGTATGGGACGTTATCAAAACCGGCAGGTACACTGAGTGTGAGAGGACCAGGCTGTGTCCCGGCCTGCCCGGCTGAAGGTGAGGATCCGAGCTAGGTGTGTCTGTTTTGTGGTACCTTAAGATACTGCCTCGTATTTAACCTTCAGGAGACGTCCTCACGCTGGGTGTGGAGGACCGCTGTCCTCTCAGGTATCGGAATGTGAGCATAGTGGAGGATGCTGGTGGGCTTTTGCTGCTGTTGACCAGGTGAGCTGAATAATGGAGTGAATCAGCGCTACGGTAGATGATGGCATAGACCATAGACCCGAAACACGCCGTAACTGTAGCCTTTCGTAGCTAAGAAAAATTACGCGCCAAACTCTATTACGAATCACCAGGATTTAAAGTTTTGTGCCGTTTCAGATGGCACATTTATCGAATAAAATAGAGTGCTCGGCATTTTAGGAATATATGGGCAGCACTTGTGAATTCGGCTGACTTTGATTCACTAATTTGTCCAATCTTAGTGTTACATTTACTTTAGAAATCTTCACAAAACAGGGACCATTCTCAGGCTGTGGACTGCCAGTACACTTGGGAAACGGGAATATGGATCCCGTGGGACCCGATTGAGAAGGCAGTTGTCTTTGATTCAATACAATATTTGCAGGGTTTAAAAAAAACTTATAAAAGTTTAACATTTCCCAATTATGTTTGGTGATTCTCTTGGATCACACTACAATCAGAGAGCGATGTCGTGATCTATTATCGGTGCTAAAAACAAGTCGGTGTGTTTGATGCTAAGAGGTAAGCTCCAGTCTTTAATGACCTTAAGATACGATTAATGATTTTCTGGCCCAGAATAAAAATCCCTCCTCCCTGGTTTTCCTCTCCTCGCGGCTTTGCAGTGGGAGAGTTCGCAGCCCCCCCCCCAGGAAGCTGGTCAAATATTTATCAGACTGCACTCATGCTGATATGATTCAAGCTGTATATACAGAACTATATGAATGATTTCAGCCACTTAAAGAAATGACTGCCATGTGCTGTTCATAACTGGGTGTAAAATGAAAATATAAAAACAACAGAAGGTCCAAAGAAATATTATGAATAAAAAAACCCAGTTCAAACATCCCCAGTGACATAAACAAACACTCTCCAGGTTAGTTTTTTGTGTCATTCACTCCAGCAAGAAGCTGATTTGTCACTTCAGAGATCGTCCAGTCCAGTGGCAGCATGCTTTACACCACTGCATCCCACACTTTGCTTTGTGTTTGGTGATGTAAGGCTTGGGTGCAGCAGCTCTATGCAGTCTTAGTCCCTGACAGGGACCCAGTCTGCAGTCTGCATGCCTGGGTGCTTGATGTTATACACCTGTGGCAATGGAAGGAATCAGTGCATTTGGATGAGTGAGTGAATACTTTTATAGTGTGCCAAGATGGCAGCTGACCATAAAATACTAACCAAATGCATTGGGCTGTGTCCAACTTTTACTACAGTCTGTAGTTAAGATGAACATAAACACTTGAAATTGTGCTACCAGTTTACAGTGTTGTTACAGCTTATTATGATGGCAGTATGATG